CCAGGAAAGAAATCCTAGGTTTTCTTGTTCTCTGTGTGTGTGTGTGTGTGTGTGTGTGTGTGTGTGTGTGGTGGGGTGTATATGTGGGGAGGTTGGGGGGGGAGGGCAGTAAGAGCAGTGCAAGCCCAGCTATGGAATTCCTGAAGGAATAAAGACGTTTATTTGGACCTTCCAGAAGAGATGCAGAAGCTGGGTGTGACAGGGACGAGTGCCAATGGTGGGCAAAGGGGAAGGAGTTGCAGCAGCCCTACCAGAAGACAAAGGAGACCAACAAAGCATCTGGCGTGGCCTCCCCGAGAGCTGCCACCACTGTGCTGAGCTGGATGTCATACTGAAAGAGGACCCCACCACTCAGCCACAAGTGACAGTTGACTGCTCATCTGTCTGGAGGAAGGCACTCCAGAAAAGCACAGTGATCATGAGTTCTTTGAGGGGTGGGAGATGGGGAGTGCAGAGCCCATGGACAGCTAGGAGCTCTTCAAGACCCAGCCAAACTCAGAGAGAGAACCACTGAGCAAGGGACTCAGGTTGGTGTGTTTACTGCCCCCATTAATGCACATTTTTTTTAACTTTCTTCAGTGTTCTCAACACTCTACCCCCCTCTTTTCATGCCCCAGTCCTCTTCCTGAAAATGACATCCAGCCGCATGGGGGCAGGGAAAAAAAGAATTGTTTTAAAGTAGCCAGTTTATTTTAAGAGTATGCACTGGCATTAATAAGCAAAACAGAAATAGTATTTTAAACAATCGAAAAGCATTCCCAAATACCCAGTGTGGCATTCAAAGGGAAAACATTCACAGGCAGCAAAAAAATCTATTATGATAAAAACAATACAAACATAACTCAATGCATTCAAAGCTGAAATGCACATAAACCAGTAACTGAGTATTCAAAGGAAATACATCAAAAACACAAAAGAATGCTTACAACAATCTAGTACCTGGGCATTCAGACTACATGGTTCTGTAGTAGTACTGTTGTAAACTTCTTGGAGGAAGGTTTTCTATTCCAAGGGCTTGTCTATACTTACCGCGCTGGTTCGGCGGCAGGCAATCGAACTTCTGGGTTCGATTTATCGCGTCTAGTCTGGACGGATAAATCGAACCCAGAAGTGCTCCCCGTCGACTCCGGTAATCCTGCTCGCCGCGAGGAGTATGCGGAGTCGACGGGGGAGCCTGCCTGCCGGGTCTGGACGGCGGTAAGTTCGAACTAAGGTACGTCGACTTCAGCTACGTTATTCACGTAGCTGAAGTTGCGTACCTTAGTTCGATTTGGGGGTTTAGTGTAGACCAAGCCCAAAACACAATGTTTCGGTTTTCAAGTCTAAAAGGTGTTCATTAATGGCGATGACACTGTCTCAAACTGTGCTCTTACGGCCTCTTTCAGCCATATAGTGTCTCAATGTGGTCTGGTAAATGCCCTTGTGTCCAGCTGCTCAAAATCAGCACACAGGCTGTCTGCTTTCTTCCTCCATGCTGCTGGTAACATTTCCCTCTTCGCCTTACAAATATTATGTGAAATATAGCACTAACTATAGGAATAGTTGGCTCCTTGGATCTAGCCTAATCATCAGACATCTCTGCTGAGCCTTAAATCTGCCAAATGCACACTACATAGTCATCCTGCACTTGGTTACAGCTTTCCTTGCTGTTGTCCAGTGCCTGGTGTATGGCGGCAGGAGCTAGGAAGCAAGCGATAAGCTGGGCCCCTAAGATTCGCAATTGGCATTGATACCCCATCAATGCGAATGTACCAGTCCAGGAAAAATGTTTCTGCATGAAGCTTTTCATAAAGTCCTGAATTTTTACCTGACCACCCAAAGTTAATTCCAGGGAAACATCCCTGGTGATTCACCAATGCTTGCATAACCATGGAAAAGTAGCCCTTTGTGTTTAGATACTCAGAAGCAAGGGTGTGGGGGCAGAATCGGGCTATGTGTCCCATCTGTCATCCCACCATAGTTAGAGAAGCCCATTTCAGTTAATCCATCTAGTATTTCCGGCACATTGAATCCATTTATTGGTTCCAGAGCCGCAATCCTGTGCAGCAGGACGTGCTTAATGATCTTGGACACTTGGATGAAGACTGCCCTCGTTTTCGATTTTTCAACACTGAACTGATCACCTACCAACCAATAGGAATCTGAGGTCTTAAGTTTCCACAACATGAGCCTCTGTCAAAGCAGCTCTCATTCTGGGGTTCCATGCAGAGCTCCAGCAATGTGACCTTCCTCATCTGAAGGATCTGCAGCCACTGCTGGTCATCCCAGATTTGCATCATGTTCTAATCCCACCATGCAGTGCTCATTTCATGGGCCCAGAACCACTGCTCCACCATATCCAGCTGGTCAGCGAATGCCTGTGGTATCTGGTGACTTTCATTCACTGCCCACATCATCCACTCCTGCTTAGTTTTCTCAGTTTCACTGCTGCATATCTGGCCAGTGGGGTGGTCGTTATAGTTCCACAAATACAAAAGAATCAGTAGGCCTGTTTCTAAAACAAACCAGAAAGCTCAGCTGATCTGGTCAGCATCCTTGCTTCCAATAGCAAGACAGTGGAGAGATTGAAAACTGGCACAAATAAAAACAGATTATAGGATGGGACAGAGAGAACGGTGGTAATAAAAGAAATGAGGGCATGAAAAAGAGAAGACCGAGGGATGGAACAGAGAGAATTGTGAGACCTTGACCACCAACCCCCCACAAGTCCTCAGAGGACTGCTGGAATCCCACTAGGCACTGTAACATTTTTCTGAAGATAGTGCTCAGGCTCTCAGCACAGGGAACATTGGAATACCTGTGTGCTATGCTGCATGTCTTTTGCTGATACAACCTGTTACTACAAGAAGTAACATCGGCGATCCCTCGAGGTTGAGGATGATCTTTCACAGCTATTGTTTTTCCTGGGTCCTTTGGTGACTGAGGAGTCCGATCCTTGAGCCACAGGCTTGTTGGCAGATGTTGCAGGTGGTGTTGATAAATTTGCTTGGGAAGCCAAACTTTGACATGATTTTCCACATGTAAAGGGACTGTTGTCCCGTTACTAAAACTCAGTGGGGGTGTTTTGGTTGGCTAGCTCTCAGTACCAAAAGAAAGGGGAAGGGTCAATGGGCAATCAGGACTCTGAGACTGACAGTCCCCAGGAACAATGGGGAGAGGCCAATGCTCCAACTCAGCCTGATTGACAGGGCAGGCAGGCTAATCAGGGAGTCAGGAGGCCAGTGGGGTCCCGTCCTCCACGTGAGCTGGAATTGCCTGGGTCAGACAGGGTGGGGGCCAAGCTAGAGAGACAGCAGAGGGTCAAGCTGAGCTGGGGAGCAGAGCCGTGCCAGCCAGAGGGGCCAGAGAAGCAGTCCAGGAAGCAGGTCAGTGCTGGGAGTAGAGTCACAGAAGCAGCCCAGGGAGCAGACCCTGTGTTGGGAGCAGAGCTGCGGCAACCAGAGCCAGAGGGGCCAGAGAAGCAGCCCAAGGAGCTGGAGGCAGAGCAGCAGCAGCAGTGCTGAGGCAGAGTGGAGCTGGAGTTGAGGTAGAGAGGTGGAGCTGGAGCAGTCCAGAGCCGGGTATGGTGAGCAGCTGGGGAGAGAGCGAGGGGGACCCGGGGCAGCAGGCCCTGTGCAGAGAGAGCACTCTGGAGTGAGGAAACACTAGACCCCGCCAAGACGCCTTGCAGGCCAGACTTGGAGGGGGATTGTAACCCCGATGGGGCAGGGGCAACGCCGGGAAGAAGGGTCCTGCCATCTAGAGCTTGAGGGCATGTGGCCATCGCCAGAGCAAGTGTCTGACCCTCAGCATCCCTGCGGCACAGCCAGGCCTGAGAAGGGGCCTGGGACTTGTGAGGGACAGACTGAACTTCCCTTACATGCCAGAGACGCTGGTTGTGATGTCCCCATGCCACAGTGCGGGGTTATGTGTTTTCCTTTAGCCTTTCCCATTTTTCCTTATTTTTTTTAATTGATTGCTGTTTAATATTGTATTTGCTTTGAACTGTATGTAATGATTAGTGGGTCGGGGAAGCATCCAGTGCAGAGAGAGCACCCTAGACCCTACCTTAAGTGATCAAGACAAGGTTGGGGGTCGAGCCCGCCAGGAATCCTGGGCCCAGCCTTGTTGCGGTTATGAGGACTCTGCCACACAGGAGAGTGGAAGGGGAGTCCTCCAGGTCAGGCAGGCCTCTGGGTAAAGGAAGTGGGAGTGAGGACTCAGATCCTTTTGCTAGCCCATTTCACCGGGGTAGTGTATGAGCCAGGAAAGTTCCCCACAATAGCAGGACCATTCCCCCGTTTACACACACAGCCTCACAGTTGAAAGTACTCACAAGAAGGTGCTGCGCTGACCAAGGCAGCCAAAAGTGAACATCATTCAGCGACACAGCAATGTTGGCAGCTGTATGCTGGCAGAAATTTTACTGATAAAACTTTTTAGTGTAAATGTGCCCTCAGTGTCCTTGGGAGGCAATGATGTAATGTCACAGCAAACTATGAGCATATTTTTGTATAGGCGACAGACCAGATGCTGTCCAAGTTCTCAAAGCCAAATCCTGGGCCCATTGAAATCAATGTCATAACTCCCGCTGATATCAGTGGAACAAGGAGATAGCCCTTATTGCATAAGTGGTGAGTCTCTTGCGCAGCACTTCTAGTTTCTATCACAATTAAAATCCAAGGTCGTCTGGGTTGGCGCTGTAACTGGCCAATGTACGGGTCTCACTGCATTTTATCATGACAGCTTATGTAAGGTATGACCCAACTATTAGGGGAGCAGCTACAGAGAATTCGCCTTTAATCTGAGTAGTAGACATCTGTCTTTTCTTCTGGGCCAGTGGTTCTGGGTTCTCTCTCAAATGTCAAAGTCTGTGGTTCAGCTGAGCTGATACCTACAATGTCTGTAGTCGTGAATTAGTTTATCTATCTACCTTGTCCAATCTAATCCATGTGTTTCTATAACACTCTCTGACCCAGCAGGAACGCTTTGAGCACTCACTGACAAAAGCAGGATGTGGCTGTGGACATGACAATGATACTGGGGCAATGAGACAGGATTTGGGAACAGACGGCATCTCAGGATGACAGCAACAGGAAAAAAGCTCCAGAACCCCTGGACCCAGGGATTCATTTATTTAGACTCCTCCTCCATTGTTTGTGTCGGGTAGGAAAGGGAAAACAAGGAATAGGATCTACTTTTCCAGTGAATCTGGTTCCCAAGTAGCAGATTCTAACCTTTCTCCCAGTGTTCTTGTGGCTCTTACTGGACATGGAATTCTAGATTTAAAGAACCAAAAATATGTTAGACAATCTTTTCTTCCTCCACAATATTGGCAGAAAGTGTTTACTGCTCCGAAATCTATTCTAGTGCATTGGGAAGACACAGATGGAGTAGTCCTCCCTTTTTTGCTATACACCTCTACCCCGATATAACGCTGTCCTCAGGAGCCAAAAAATCTTACCGCCTTATAGGTGAAACCGCGTTATATCGAACTTGCTTTGATCTGCCGGAGTGCGCAGCCGCCGCCCCCCCCCCCCCGGAGCACTGCTTTACCACATTATATCCGAATTCATATTATATCGGGTTGCGTTATATCGGGGTAGAGGTGTACTTGGCACTAATTTGCAAAAGGCAGAACTTTCAGAATGTAGGCACCACCTCAAGTACTGTAAATTGGAATAAACTAGAAATCTATTTAATATCCTATGTACCGTATACTGTAATTTGATATCCTGTGCACTTTTCATCAATAATATATATATGTACAGTATTACCATGCATTACTTGATGCCTGATCATAATGTTTGCCAAACAGAATACAGTTATGAATAACGCTAAGACTTTGTCTGTACTTCCTTTCACTTGTGGCAGCAAGTAGGGTACGTGTAGCTCAGGGGCAGATGTCTCTTTTGACACGTTTGGCTAAGTACAGTATATAAACAGCTCATGAAAGGCTCTTCAGTTGAATTGTGACTCACCAACCTTGCCCAGCTACCTACCTAGCCACTCCTCATCTTTCAGATTAAGATCATTCTATACCTCAATATTTCTACATTTAAAAATAAATAAAAAAATATCATAGCTGACATGCTTAGAACTTCTGCCAACCCTCTCTCATTCCTCCAACACTTCTCCAGTCCTCTCAGCTGCCCATCAATGAATGCTGGAGTCAGTTATAAAACGTTCATTGCCTTCAGTGGCAGGCCCCCATCCCTGACATAAATTATTTCCACATTAACATTTCAAATACAATGGACTGTTCTTCCCAGTGCAAAATAATTACTTACCAGTAGATGAAATTTCTCCCCAGAGCAAAGAACAAAATCTCTATACCCAGCCCTCAAACTACACTCTCCCTAAATGCCTGGGAAATAGACGGGACTTTCAACATGTCCTGAATGTTAATGGATCTGGGCTTGGGTGGACTAGGTGGGGAGTGAATTCCACAGCTCAAGGTCCAGTTCAAGCATCTCTGCTGATCTCAGCTGTAGCAGCATGTTACAGGGAGAGTGGTGGTCTCTCAGGTAACCATTTAGGTTTGTGTAAGTCAATACCAACACCTTGAATTCCAGCCAGAAACGTATTAGCAGCCAGTGCAGATCCCAGGGCCCTGGTGTAAAGTGTTCTTGGCATGAAACTCCATAAGTGAGCAACCGCATTCTGCGCTAGTTCCAATTGTTGAGTGATCTCAGTGTATAGCCCTATGTAGAACGCGTTACAGCCATCCAGTCTCAAGGTGACAAAGGCATGGATAAGTATGGCAAAGTCCCTGCACTGGAGAGAAAAGACCCCCAACCCTCTCATCAGAAACAGGTGGAAAAAAACCCAATGTTTTTGTCAAAGACTTGGCCCAAAGTGTATTTAATGTCCATGATGTCATTCATCCATGAACTTTCTGATTCAGAAAGTTCAAATAAGACTTGTAGGGTTTTATGTGCATTAGATTCATATGAGCAGTTTCAGTCCGCGCTCTATTGAAGTCAATGAAGTTACACCAGGATAAAATCAATACAAAGTCAGAATCAGGTCCAACAGCTCTTCTGGTGTGGATAGGGTGGAATATACTAGTATAGTGTAAGAATATGAAATAGTCTTTCAGTTTCTTTTATAGAGACTGTGATTTTTGTCATGACTCATGAAGGTTTATGACATGCATGTCATTTGTCTTCACTTTTCATCCAAGAGAAAAATATCATTGTACCTGTGCTATATAATGGGCTGTGAAAAGAACCCCATTTTTAGAATAGCCATTTAAAATGGATAGCAAATGGGCTATGGATATACAGTCTCTCACTGTAATTATAAAATAACTGTCATTGAATTTAGGGGTGTTCAAGAAACTGAGGTTCTGCTTCACTTAGATTGAAAAATCACTTTGGACCAAATTTTCAGCTGACCCCAGACTACCCTCCAAAAATACACACACATTTATTGCACCCTCAAACTTGGACCTGTTCTCGTGTATGTGCAGATGAATTGGATCTCTGAGAGGCCAATTATAAATGCTGAGTATCCACAAGGTTTTGAGGGCACCAACATTTTGCATGTACTTTTGTGGTCCTAAGATCATAGACTGTGGCTGAAAATTTGGTCCTATAGTTTATATTTAACATCTCTTCAGATATATTCAGAAAGATTTCCATCATGATGGCCCAGGACTTGGTTCTCTGAGATTCAGACAAGAATCCAAAGAAATTCCATATAGGAAAGAATGAGTTTAGGAATATCTGACAGGAAATTGCAACCTTTGTGGAGTTCTAAATTCAGCAACACAAGGTATAGCTGATTACAGTCACTGTGAAAACATAAAGTGAGGACCACAAAATGAAGGCAGTTGGGGAGAGAAGTGTTATGAGCAGGGGAAAGAAAGAAGGATCAGTTTTTGTCTTTGTGATAGATCCCGTTTTATTCCACAGCCCTTTATTTGTCTGACATCCAGCGGAAGGGAGAGCAGCAGAAGGAAGGGATGTTTGTGTTTCTTCTGCACATATGGAGAAAACAGGTAAGGAACACCGCTACTGTTCTGCTGCATGCTGCATACAGCCCGGAAGCTGAGCTAGTTACAGCTCAATGGATACATAAGGTCCTGTTGCGTGCTGTCTTTGAAGGCATCTGGAAGACTGAACTGGAGGGGCAGGGTGTCATGGCTGAATCTTAAGCCTGTGACATTCCGGCTATAGGTTAGGATGCACTCCAGCCTTCCCTGTAGGGAAAGGCCTTGTAAAAATAATCTGTGATCCATTGCAGTGCATTTTGTGGAGCAGAGGGAATGCTGGCAGAGGAATTTGTCTCCCCTACAAAACCTATGAAAATCATATTTAGCTACAGTCGTTGTTTTAGATTGGGAATTGTCTTAATGAGGAACATACCAGGGAGTTTGATGAGATGAGGATCTGCTATTCTCTTATTTGATTCAGCTGGGGCTATTGGGAAAGAACAGGGGGACCACTCAGGAAATCTAAAAGATGGATCATTTTATGCACCACTGTCTCATCCCTGTAATGTTTTGCCGATGGACTAGCTTTCCTGTTTGAGAGGAAGGGAGGTAGAGACATTGTGTCAGCCATTGTGTCAGTCAGAGAATTGTTGTTAGCACACACATACCAGGCTTTTCTGGTTTTGCTAGCAAGGTAAAAGCAAAAGAGCAGTTCTTCTCAGACAATTGACAAATTCATGTGATGCGCTACATTGTACTCCAAACAATAGATGCACTGAACTCCCATTGGAGTCAGCGGCTATTCCAAATGCCAACTAGCTAGAGAACTGAGCCCTAGCTTAGTAAGATGTTTATAAAGAAACATCCAAACAGCTCAGGTGCTCAATCAATCAGTTTCTCATATTTAAGCCTTTTCTGCTGTCAGTCCTGGCTACAAGGATGTTGCTGCTTTACGCAAATTGGAAAACATCCACCCCCCTCAGAGCCCACAGGCAATCACACAATAAACAGTCCCCGAATTCTAGGTGACCGAGTGTTGTTCTTCCATGTCTACTGTCCCTGTGCATTAATGACTTCCCAGATCTATGTGTGTTCATTGCCAGTAAAGAACTTTTCACCAGGAATATGCATGTTCCAAACTTCCACAGAATTAATTCGTAAGTCTGATTGATGTACAATTGGAAAAAGTTAGACGGACAGTGAGTGTTTCATTGATGTGAAATTTTACACCAAATCTGGATGTGGTATACACTTAGTTTATGATCCAGCTGGGCATGCTTGTTAGTTATTGTTGGGGTCAATCAAAGTGTAATTGTAACATAGGGAAAGACAGTCCCAGGGCTACGAAGATTTGTTTCCAACAGCTGCTATTCATTATTCATTAAACTCTACCTTCTGTTTTTGAAATTAATAACCCCTGGCCTTCTAACCAGGCATCAGACTTTGAGAATATAGGTTTAATAATCAAAGATACACTAGTTTCATCTCTAGACAAGTGATAACACAAGAAATTTTAGCTAGTAGTAGGACTTGGCTGCAGAACTATTATTTCTTCTTGTGGAAAACCAGATGTGAGTTAATTAAACCGAAATTTACAGGCACTATATTCTGTATGGAAGTAAACCAACCAGTGAGATATCTATATACGGGTAAACTTCCTAGTCCTCTGTGAATGTGCTTCCACTGGGGCTCCATGCATTTTTGGAGCAGGGCTGGGGCAAGATACGGTGGAGCAAAGGACAGTCTAATGTGTATGGCACCCCATGCTCTGAGAGTCCCTAAGTCTCTGACTGCCAGAAGGTGGGACTAGGCAACAGGGTGTGGATCACTTGATAAATTGCCCTGTTCTGTTCATTCCCTCTGAAGCATCTGGCACTGGTCACTGTCGGAAGACAGGATGCTGGGCTAGATGGACCATTGGTCTGACCCAGTATGACTGTTCTTATGTTCTTATTCCCTGGAGGCCAGCTGAGTTTCAGTGTGGAAATCTGTGCAGGATGTAACACAGCTCTGAGTCCCTTCCTTGCCACTACTGAGTAGCTGTAGGAGGATCCAGCCAATGGGCACATGGTTCTAGCAGGCCCGCCTTACATGCTTGGTAATTTCGGTGGGTGCTTCATGTACTTCTGTGATAGGCATTTCTTTTCCCTAACTACATCAGGACTAGGGTTGCCAATTTTGGTTGGACATATTCCTGGAGGTTTCATCATATGACATAATCTTTAATTCCTGGAGTCTCCAGGACACCCTCCTGGACACCTGGAGGGTTGGCAACCCTAATTTCAGGGCACATGTATAGGAAATGGCAATAGCTGAGAATAGCCTGATTGAATAAAATGG